GTAAAGTAGAGGTCAGGGACCAGGGGCAGAAAGAAAGGGAGAGAATTGGAAAATACTATGAAATTATATTGACTAAATCATATTGTTATATTGTATGCATGTACAAATATGTAGCAATAAATCCCACTATTATGTCTAATCATAATGCACCAATAGAAATGTAGAAAGTTTAAAAAGTTACTTATTCAAGAAAAATTGCTTTTCCTGTAATTTAGTGCCATTTTTTTCAGTTTAGCATACTAAAAAAATGGCTGTTTATTATCTTGTAAGAAAATAATTTACTTATAAACTTTAAGCTTCCATTAATTAAACATATGTGTGTATTTAAACAACTCATTAAATACACTTGTGATATACAATGGATAAACCATAGGAATAAAAATAATAAGAGGAAAAATAAGTAAGCAATAAAGAGTATTATTTTTCTTATGTACACAATGTGATATGTCAGAACTAATGAATAGGAATCATTTTAATAAGAAAAGAGTATACATTATAAATGAGACTTGTGGACATTCAAAAAATAGAACTGTCAATATAAAGTGAACTTAGGTTTCCATTTATCATTTTTTATATTGTATTAGTATGTGCCTGGAACCATTGTACACATGTTACGAAAAAACTCATTTTATTTTTGAGAAAAAAACTATGAAATAGATAGTATTATTATCTTATTTCACTGACAAGAAAAACCTGAGACTGCAGAAGTTAAATAACTGCTCAACTTTATGTAATTAATAAGTAATAGAACCAGGATTTATCCCTAGAAACTGTTTCCACATTCCATGTTTTATAAGAGGAAATGCTAGATATTAGATGATTAGTTACTTTTGTTTGGGATGATGGATCCCTGTTGATAATCTGAAAACCGTTTACTATCTACTGAGAATATACACACATACACATACATTTGCATATTTATATTGTATAAATGTATTCTGTATGTGTATATAAATATACATGTGTGTGTCTTTTGAAATTATTTCTTGATTTTTGTCTTTTGTTGGTGGTCAGAATTATTGTTGAAAATGAAAATATAGCCATCAAAGAGAGTTGATATTTTCATGATCTTTGTTGAGGGTTAATGGAGAGTCTTTTTGTTTTACTCTGTAAGATTTGAATGGAAGAACATTAGAGCAGTGGGAAGTTTAAGCTCAGGAAGTAACTAATTGTCAATCCGAAGTTTAATCACTTTAAATGGATTAATACTATTTATTATATTTACTCATCTAAAACTAATTCATTTTTTTCTTTAGTACTCCACAAATGCAACCACTTTTTTAAAAATCTGGAACAAAATATACAAATACAAAGTTTATTTTAGGTTTTAATGTAGTCCTTAATTCAATTTGAAAATTGCTTCTAACTAGGCTCAACTTTATAAAAGCAAGCAAAAGATTAATCCACAATCTGTATTATTGACTTAAGGCCTTTAGTTTCATCTATTATACCAGCATCTCAACCACCTTTATAATCCTTTGACTATATTTTCTTGCTGTTACCCTCAAAACCAATTATTACTTATTACAGACACAGTGCTATCATTCTGAAAGTCTTTTAAACTACAGTGTCTGCATAATGATGTGATGCGGGAGTCATGGAAAACCTTTAGTATTAAGATTATGGCCAAGAAGATTATTCCAGTAGGGTGATATAGTGTATATTACAGAAAAAAAAATGGAGACAGAATACAGGAGAACAAGGGGGTAGCAGTGTCGGTACATGAAATAAGTCCTGCTCAGGACCATTTTAGAAAAGTAACTGAAACATGATGCTTTGGCAGAGGCATCTGAAGCCATTAATATCTGCTTACTTTCCTTCCTTGAGTGGACATAGAAAAGCTGTTTCCCTCTATCTATCCTTTTGAGCCTTTTGGGTCAACCTCTGCGATCTTGGGCTTTGCTTTCCCATGAGGATCAATTCTTTTCTTTTTTAATCAAATCATATTTTAATTTATTTTTAACTGATTGTCAAGAAGCATGAAAGATGTACATATTAAGACATATTAATGGGGTGACATGAAACTTTTAATATATGTATATATATTGCATAATGTTGAAATCAGGTTAAATTGATTATATATATATATTGCATAATGTTAAATCAGGTTAAGATTGAAATTAGGTTAAACACTTATTTCTTCAAATATTTATTATTTCTTTGTGGTGAAAACTTTCAAAATAGCGTCTTCTAGCTTTTGGAAATATACAGTACATGATTGTTTTCTGTAGTCACCTTACTGTGCAACACCCACAAGAGCTCCTTACTCCTAAATAACTATAGCCTAGTGTCCATTCATCTACCTTTTCTTATCTGTCCCTCCTCCCCTTAATGTTTCTGGTCCCCAGATGGATTAATTTTTTCTTAGTTTACAAATCAGCCTATGTATCAATATCAATTTCAGAGCAATTCTTTAATCCTCACTTTGGGTTGCAGAGAGAAATTCTTTGTATGGATATTGGGAATATTAATTATATAATAAATCAATTTATGAACATTTGGTTGACACATATAAAGAAAAATCACACAAAACAACCATGGAAAACTATCTTCAACATTGGCTTCCCAAATTGGCACCTAATTGTAAAATGACTTCATGATCCATATTTGACTATTTCTTGGGCTTATATCATTTTTAAGATCTTTAACTAGCTGACGTACTAAAGTTGGAAATTCTCATATGAAAATTCAGAATTTCTCCTCTAGAGGTTGCAACACTGGAAACCTGGCAACACCAAGCAAGCCTTCCCCAAAGCAGTGGTCAGTTGAAACTGTGTGATGTACCTGTTTCAGGGTGGTTGTCCTCCAGTTCCCCACAGCCCCCATCAGTCCTCTTCACTCATCAACATCTCCTGCCTCAGCCTTAAATGCCCTGGCGTTTGCAACCCCTACTCTGGAGCTTCACCCTAGTCACTTACTGGACCCCCAAAGTGTATGCTTAGCTCACCTTCTGAAGTAGTATTTGATTACAAGAATGCTCAACAAAGCAAAGCACTGAATTTAAACCACTGCATCTTCCCCTATGTCCAAGTGGTGGAAAAAACATGTCAAAAAGTAGAATTCCTTTGGCACAGCCAACTTACCTGTTGTTAGATAAATTGTTTTTATTATATAAAGGGAGGCCTAAGATTCTTCTAAGATGTTAACCTGGATCCTGGTATACTTACACTCTGTCAGATCCTAAGGCTTCTCTCACTTTACTTACATAGTTTTTTAATAAGACAAAATTGAACATTAATAGAATCAATTAGAGACAGACAAGATACTGAGAAATCAGTGACATAATAAATCTTTTCCTTGTAAATTAGTGATGTTCCTGCATATGGTTATTATCTGAGATGGATCAAGGAACAAAGCTATCACCTAAGACTGCTGTTACTCTGAAAATGGTAGCATTTACTTGCCCAGTTTTGAGATATATAGTTAGCTAATAAGGAATCTTTCATTAACAGAGTGAACATGATACCCTAATTGGGATAGTAACCTAGCAAGTATCTGACCAGAGCATTATGGCATTTCTTAAATGACACAGATATTCAGTAAGATATTTTGGAGTCTGTAGTGAATGCAGTTTTCACTGTGAACAATGTCAGGGTTGCTCTAATGTAATCTGTAATATTATTGTCCATGGTGTGTGTGTTTGTATTTTAGTTGTTGATGGACATAATACATTTATTTAATTTATTTATTTTTATGTGCTGCTGAGGTTCAAATCTAGTGACTCACACATGCTAGGCAAACTACCACTGAACCCACAACCGCAGCCCTCCATGGTATATTCATAGAGAATGAAGCTATACTGTTGAATCCATTTTGAGCTACTCCTTTGGATTTGCTTTCTTTCTTGTTTCTCTCTTGTTATTTTATGATGGAAATCAGATTCTAGATTCAAAGATTTAAAATGCCTTCAGAGTTCAATGACATGGATAATTTAAAATGATTATTAGTACCTTGGTACTGTAAATATTACCCAGTAACTTATCATCAGAGTCTGATTCTGAATGCATTTCCATTCAGACATAAAGCAGAGTGACTCAGAGAATGTGGAATTCTCCCATCAGATGCTCACACACAACTTCAGTTGTGCAAGATTCTGCCCTCAGCAATATGAGCCCACTTCAAACAGAAATGCACATGAATAGTTAAAGAAAAATGCTGGATCCCACCTGTTGCCTCTTCTGTGAAGTAATAAGTCTATAATGTTTATAAATTTTAATAACCCAGATAGGGATTTATCTTTCAACATTAAATTTATATTATCCAAAAGTTTGACTTTTGGGGGCATGTATTCTCTAGTATCTTGGAAAATCTATCTGTTTACTAATGCATGTCCCTTAATAAAGAATTGCAGTGTTCTCTTATCAACCAAATATCAGCACATTTTGAATGTTGCATTGAAATCTTTATTTTCAATGTGATGTTTTCTTCGTCTGACTGAAGGTGTCGTGATCCTTCCTGAGGGCTGGAAACATCAACATTATATTTGTTGATTCTGTCAAAGCGAATTGTGTTTGTGTTTACCTTTTGTTCCCCAAGATTATAATTGAAATAAATTTTTCACAATGTTTCCTTTTGATGGTTTAAGATCCTATGGTAATGAGAATTGAATGAACCAAATCATTAGCTTGAGAATACGTATATGGATGCAAACCCAATTTTAAAATTGTTTATATCTGATAACATCAAGCCTCACCTATAAACCTTATGTTATGTCTTAGAAACAATGACTACATCTCAGTGCATGAACAATGAGAAGGGAAAAAATAAACCTTCCAAGCAAAAGGCTACTTTTACTCATCGGAGTAAGTGTGACAAGAGGCCAGAGGTGGAATTTATGATTTTAATCACATTGTCTACAACTAATTCATTTTACCCTTGAATTTTTAAGTAGTTCTTAAGTAGATTTTTCCTGAGGAAGAAAGTAAATAAAGGAAAGCAGTTTCCCTCTGATGACAGATTCACTTATTCTAAACAATACTTTCTCACTACTTTGGTTTCAGTTTACAAGCACTGAGAAAGGAGAAATCCCGAGATGCTGCTCGCTCCCGCCGGGGGAAGGAAAATTTTGAGTTCTATGAATTGGCCAAGTTGTTGCCTCTTCCTGCAGCCATCACCAGCCAGCTTGACAAGGCGTCCATCATTCGACTGACAATTAGCTATCTGAAAATGAGGGACTTTGCTAATCAGGGGGACCCTCCGTGGAACTTGCGAATGGAAGGCCCTCCACCCAACACATCAGTAAAAGGTAAGTTTTAGGTCACAGTTCAGTATGGCATATGGTGGTCTGTAGCTATCTTTAAGTCGAAATGTTTACCATCATCCTTTCTTCTTTTCCTGCATATCAAATCCTTTAAAGGGATACAAATGTGGAAATCTGAACTCTGCATGAGAAAGACACCATGTGAAGGTGAAATAAACCTCTTCTATTTCTATTTTATTTTCAAAAAGTCTTGTCAGCCTAAATATACTGCTACTTTATATCAAGTTTCTTAGAAATGAGAATTAGATGATTTATGTATTAGTGATTCTGGGATTTAATGTATGTTATATTAATACATATAAATTATTCTTGGTGGGTAGAATATGGAAATGCTTGTTAAAGGGTGGAACTAATAAGTGTTTCTTTAAGTAACCAGAGAGAGAGAAAGGGAGAGAGTCCAACTTGAGCAGGCATTTTTGAGTTAATGATTTTATTGACCATAAAAATCAATCCATGTATTAATGTTTCATGTTTCTCTATAGACATATTGCCTAAAAGTTATAAACATATATTTGTTCTTCAGATGCTTGATACAGTTACACTTTAAGCTCACTATTTTAAAATGTGGGGTCTTTTTTACTCTGACATTCAAGAGAGGTATTTTCCTATGAGTTCCCCAAATACCTAATACTTTATGGCATTCTTAGCATTTGAATATGCATGCATACCGTTTACTGAGGTATATGTGGTGTTGACCATTGATTTTCTGTCTTTACAGTTGTGTTATTCAAGGCGTAGGATTTAAAATGTCTGCTAGATCCTTAGGTCCTGACCTTGTGTTTAGGCCCTTGATGAACATGGAATAAAATTAGGCATTTGGGAGACTGGATTATGTGCTTTAATTTGGTGATGACACCTTTCCAAATACATTTGGAAAAATCCCAACAGTTTTAGCTGTTGTAGGAAAGGGTACTAGTGGGGAGGGTAAACTCTTTTATAGGACCGATTGAATTAAAGGGTCAAAAGCAGTGATCGTTTATGATTCCATAGTAAGAGCTGTGGTTATGTACGTGTACATGCATGTATGAATGTGTTATAGTTTGAGCATACCTAATCTGAAAATCCTTAATCTGACATACACCCAAACTTTTGAGTACCAACATGATGCCACAACTGGGAAATTCCAGTTCGTATCAAGTGCAAAATTATGTAAAATATTGTATAAAAGGCTCTGTTTATAAGGTATATCTGAAACATGAATGAATTTGGTGTTCAGTCTTGGATCCCATCTACAAGATACTCATTACATATGTACAGATAGTTCTAAATTCGAAAAACCCTGATACCTGATTTCTGATATCTGGTCCAAGAATTTCAGATAAGGGATACTTTATTTACTTAAAAATTTACTTATGCTTATGAGAGGAGGAAAATTAGAATTTAAATTTAACAGGTTATTTCCCTCTAGAGCCATGGTTGGCAAACATTGTTTGTAGAGGGTCATATAGTAAATATTTTAGGTTTTGGAGTCTTCTAAATTCTGCCATTATAATTTAAAATAAGGAATAGACAATATGTAAATGAAAGGATATGGCTGTGTTCCAGTAAAACTGTATTTACAAACAGGCAGCAGCCTCTGAATTTAGCTCAGAGGCCATAGTTTGTGGGCCATTGATCTAGAGTATATGATGCTGTTAAGGTTAAGGAGAATACACAACAGAGGTACTTCTCAAGGACAGGATGTCAGTACAAGTTAGCCCATGACAAATAAATGAAGGCACATTCTTCAGTCCTTTTATAGTTCTTCTCCCCTCTAGAATGTGAACATAATCTTGATAAGACACTAATGCATTTTCTAGATACTAAAGTAATAGTGAACTTTCCCAAAGTAAAGATGTACATATACTTTTAGTATATATACATTAGATTTATTTTTTCACTCTAGTTTGAGGCATGCCTGTTTTTATGTTTATGCCAAATCATGCATAATGAAATGATAAGTCCAATATGTTAGAAACCCCACAGTATGGAAAAATATTATTATTCAATTTGCAAAAATTGTTAAACTGGACTTATATTTTCTTTGTTGAGCATAGTTGTCTTTTATTTTATTTTTATTTTAAAAGGAGTTTGCAGTGAATAGTCTTTCTTGGAAAGATTGGTGACTAAAGTGGAAAAATTTGGTGGCTCCATTGTTTGTTTATTCTTCTCTGATGTGATAGTCCAGTTTACATTTAGAATTATGGCCTTTTACAGATGCAGGCTTTTAGATCACATAGAACTATTCCCTCATTTTACAGATAAGAAATGACTTTGCCATTAAGTGTTAATAGATCTAAGACAAAAATACAGTTTTCTTGCCTTCTGTCTAGCACTCTTTCACATCATATTTTTTTATAAATGACATTTGTTTTGAGTCTTCATTATTAAACATTCCAGGTGAGAATTTTATGAGCTTTAGACTGTCACTAGCAATTGACTTTTTCTTTGTGTGGTTCTATCAACTCTATAACCCTTTATGATGATTAGAGTAAATAAGATGATAACACATGGCCTCTGCCCTCCATGGGTATTCCTGTCTATGGAAGGGCATGGTGGTGGTATCACTAAAGAACATGGGAGCCTAGAAGGAGATAAGAGATTTTGTTATTTAAACAATTCTAGCCAGATGATGTCAGAACATCCACAGTTAGTACATGTTCACTTCCACTCTTAGTAAATTGGTGATGGGCTAAAACTGGAGATTGTGCATGGTGACTCCATATAGTCTCTGCTGTCTCTCTTAAAAGTTGCTAGAAAGGGTTGGGGTTGTAGCTCAGTGGTGGAGTGCTCGCCTCACATGTGGAAGGCACTGGGTTCCATCCTCAGCACCACATAAAAATAAAATAAAGGCATTGTGTCCAAATACAACTAAAAAGTATTTTTTTAAAAGTTGCTAGAAAGGCACTTGGTACTCTCTATCTGCTGCTTCTGCTGTGCAATATATGTACAATTTATTGCCTTACTCTAGTTCTTTAATGCAAAACTGCTACTCATTCTGATCAAACATTCATGAAACAACAACATCAAAAGAAATTCATTTTAATTTATTAAGGTCTTCTATGTTATGCCCTTGAAGAAGTTCATGTGGATAAACAAGCTTATATAAACAGCCTGCAGCACCATGTAAAGTCAGTTCATAATCCAACAATAAAGACGATAGACGTTATACTTTGTGCCTCTCCAAGCAGTCTCTTGAATAAACCTAAAGGCATTTGGAAATTTATATAAAAAGTACTTGAACAATATAGGCAGCATTTTTTTTAATGTGAAGAGTTGATCATGTTAATAATTAAATTTCAAAGCTTAAATTTAAATTTGTCCCACACAACTAGGTAGAAGTTTAATCATTTTAATTTACTGCTTCAGAGAGGTCTTTTACTCTGCCCTGTGTTTATCACATATTTTCTTAACAGTCTATAAAGGTGGATGAGTTTGTTTTGTGATATCCATTTTATACAGATTATTACGAGTTATGCTTGCAGGAAGAACACTCAGTTGACAGTGTATAATATGTCCTGAGTCAATTACCTCATGGAAATGATATGTTAAGCAATTGTAAGGTAACAGATATTTTTTCCTATTATTTTAGAAATATCCGTATTGTTATAATACAGATCAAATCTACAATGAACGTTATGCATTATTCAAGAAATGACCAGGCATTCTCAGCAGTGTTTCATTCAGCTAAATAACTGATGATTGTAACCTTTAAAGAAATCTCATTGTGGTGACTGTTGGTAAATCACTTCTCCATTCATAGTAATCTCTATTTAGAGGCTATCTAGAAACCATTATATCTTTTATTAATCTTAAAAGCAATAGCTGCTGATTTGACATTTGCTAAAACTAGATAAATTTTCTGTCTTTCTAATATCACAGACTTCAGTCAATTTTTGGAGTGTGTCTGCTGCAACTCTATTAATCCAGGAATATTTGCCATTGTAAGCATAAGTTTTATTTCAATTTAAATATTGAAGCTTTTAAACAACAATTTGCCTTTGTCTGTGACAGCCAACAATGCTAAAATATGTAAAATATAAGACACCCTTAGCCCTTGAAACGGAACAGTTGAAAAATATGCAAGGCAACTGGTGATTAAAACTGCCTGAACACATTAGTGAAGAGCCTTACCTCTTGCACAGAATTTGTCTTCACTCTTCAGGTATCTATTGTGAATTAAAGTAGTAGTTTTTTCTGAGAGGAGAGATTAGCAGTCTTTATTTAAGCCACACGTTACCTATCCTTTGTCAAAGACAGGATTCTTATTTAAACAATGATGCTTAGTGGGTTCGTTTACAGTAGTCTCACAGGGTAAATGACTATAGATGATCTTCTAGAGTGACATTGAGTTACAGCCACAATGGTTGTCCCTAAAACTTGGACAGCATTTTGTAAAATGATTTTTGTTTTAGTAGAAAGGTAGAAATTCCAAGACTATCTGAGTGATGGGTCTTCTTTAGGTTAAACACTTCAGAGGTCCTCCATTTCCTGTTTTCCCATTTTACCAAATGCTAAGGAGCATTTCCTTCTCCTAAGTGACGTCCGTGCATTAGGACAAGTTCATATTCCTCCTTACCAAAAACCTGTGAGATGAAAGTTCTTGGATTTCATACCCGGTCATGCATACTCAGCCCATTCCTTTATTTCTTTTTACATAGGCAAAGTGTTGAACAGAGAGAACCCCTTAGTTCTGAGCAAGAAGCTTTGTGTGGGACTTTTTGGAGAGTAGAGTAAACAATGGAAACTTGGTTCCCTTGATTCCTATTCTTATTTCCATCATCTTCAGTAAAATAAGGACCAATGCCTCTGTTCTGGTCTCTAACTCCATTTGTCTCAACCCAGATGATAATGGCACCAAATGGAACAGAACCGTCCAAAAGCTGAGCGGCCAGTGCTCACTGCTGTTTGTTTTGGGAGTGCCAGATCTTAACGAGTATATGGAAATATGATGTAATATAAGTGCCTTTTCTTAGGTATGCTTCCAGAAAGCATGTTATTGTCATTTTATAGATTTATAGTAGAACTTCTGAAAGAAATTCATCTAAGTACTAACTTTTTACTTTGTATTACAATAGGGCAAGCAATGTTTACATAACTATGCTTACCAGTAATCCTCCGTGTTACTGATTGGGAAGGGCATTCTGCCAAATGGGGGCTCTATGATG